AAAAAATCTAGAGTTTGTTTCTGGGCACCGTATTGCAGGGCGACTGGTTTCCAATCGCGCACGTACAAGGCGTCCCGCACGTTTTCAAAGACTCGCATCCTGGCTTCCTTCTCAAAGAGAACCTTTACATAGTCGCCCGTGTGCCGGAGCGCGTCCGCGTCCATAGTCGCGAGCGCGTCGGGAGAAGCTATCGCTTCCAACACCCCCGTCGTCCCGTCATCCGAGTCGGCGTACGCCCTGGCCAGCGGATCGGTTCTCCTCACGCTCTCCGCGTAAGGCGTCAGGTGCGACTCTATCGCATGAGTCACCTCCTTGGTTTCTCGCACCATTGTCGCTACGAATCGGGCCATCTCGGTAAAGTCGCGCGTACTCTGTTGCACGTCGAGGTCGTCCGTAGAGGTGCGTCGGCCCAATACGTCCGTGAGGAAAAGATACTTTTTGGTCCGCGCAATCCGAGCTCGCAACACATTTTCCTCGAACGGCGTCCCGATTCCACGTATGGGCGCGACAATCTCCCTCTCGATGATCGCCCTGCGATCCTTCAAAAATTGCATCTCGGGCGCGTACGCCTCGCCATCGCTCTCGTCGCACACGTATCTGGGCAGGACCCAGTTTGAGTACCAATCGTCGAATCCCGACCTCGAAGATGCAGCCAACGGAGCGTCCGAGTTCGGCCACCGGGCCGCGGCGGATCGTGCCGACAAAGAAGAAAATAGGAAGACGAACAAGTCTCGAGTAAACGGCTTGCTTCTCTTTTCAATCAATAAAGATTTTATTCGCAGAGACTCGTTCCATGCGTCCACCTTACTCTTGACGGCGCGGGCCGAACGCAGCGTCGACAAGACGCTAAACACTGTGCCAACGACGGGCTCCGCGTTTAGGTTAGGACAGGTGTCGATGTCAGTGTCTGCTTTCGCGGATCGCAACGCTTCCCTCGTCGCGTCCAATTCCGCCAATAATTTCGAATACAACTTCAAATCCCTTTCCAGGTGCAAGTGCCGATACTCTACCGCATCTGCGTCGTCTTCCTTTAGGTCCGACATTGAATTGCCCAGCGATTCGTCCGAGTAGATTCTGGTCACTAACTTTGCGGGCGATTCGTCTTCGGCGCGACGGTGCGCGAGGATGGACTCGTAGATTGCTACGTATTCCCGAGCCAGAGACGCGCGCTTGGGTTGTACCTTGTCCTTCAGACGAACAATTTCTTTCCGACAAGATTCCCACGTCGCGGCAGGCAAGGTGCGGTGCAAGCCCTCCCTGTACGCTCGCCTGACGGCGACAAAGTCGGAATTGGCAGCCGCCTCGTACGCCTCGGCGCGAGGTTCCGTGATCAAACGTTCGGCGTCCAGAGCCGACGCAATGTCTAGCGTCTTTTTGCGATCTTCGTACGCCGCGACGAGAGACCGACTCGCCTTTTCCCAGTCTACCCGAGAGTCCAAGACTCCCTCCAGCCACTTTGGATACGAGACGGTCTCCGTGTCAAATACAGTCTTTGGCACGTCAGGTGCATCTGTAATGTCCCACAGTTTGAGCTGCTTCACTATTCCGAATATCTTGTACTTTTCAAAGACTTTGTACATTGCCAGGTAGTTTTTGGCGTCCCTACACATGTTCAATAGCTCGGAAACGAAGCTTCGAGTCAGGTCGGCGTGATGACGCTTAATCAGGTCTTTTTGCGACATTGTCGTCTATTCGATTCGCTTTAGAAAATCGAGCACTCTCGCGTTATCGCCTCGCTGCGGCCAGGGAGAAAGCTTCAGGTCCCGCGTTAGCCTTTCGACGTGTCGAAAGCAGTCCATCAAGTCCGTTTCTTGGCCCAGAGCCTCGTATATTTCGGCCTTTCGCCGAACGTAGGCCGCTCTCTTTGCGTGGGCGTTTGCGATCCTGTCCCAGGGAAAGGTGGCCACAACGTCGATGGCGCCTTCGCGTATTATCCTGGCGAGGTAATCGTCTTCTCCGGTAACGCCGTCCTCGTACTGACGAACGTACTCTCCGTCCGGAGAGTCCATGCCCCAGTCACGCAGAGACTCTCTGTAGCGCTTTTCGTTTTCCACCAACTCTCTAATCTTGGCGACTTTCTCGGTCACGGTGGCCAGCGTGTCCTTTGGCGAGATCATTTCCGTGTTTAGCCACTTGGCGTAATTCCGACCGGCACGTTCGATCGCCTTACGTACCTCTTCCGATCCGTGCACTTTGAGATTTTCGACTCGGGTCAGGTCGGGAAACTCTTTGCGGACCGCGTCGACCATCTGCGCGTAGGCGGCGTGGCACGCCAGCCACGCCTCTAGCTCTGGTCTCAGGTCCGTCTCGTCGGCGAAATCGAGAAAGAGACGCTCCCTAAAAGTTTCCAGAACTGTGTCCTCTAGCCGTAGAAATCGGCGGTCCACGCACTTTTCCGCGTATTTGGCCTCGCGCAAAAACTCGAAAAACTCGACCGTCACTCTTTCGCGCAAGAGCCTCCACATGGCGTCGTAAGATTTTGCGACGAGTTTGCGAGCGACGTCGGCGTCCTCGTTCGCCACGGTCCAGCGGATAAATTCGATTTTCCAGTCGTCGTCGTCTTCCGCATCGACCATCTTCAGCAGACTCGACACCTTGAATCTAGAAAGTTTGGAAGAGACGGCGCTTTGCGAAACGCGCAAGGTGCCGACGAGATTGCGCAGGTCGACCCTCACTCGAGCTTCCAAACTAAACTGCTTGGTCTTCCAGTACGCCGTTCGCGCCGCGTGCAACAGCTCGGTGATTTGCGCGACCCCGAGGTCTCGATGCAGCTCCCAATAGTTTTCGCCATTTGCCGATCTCGTCGAAAAGAGATTGTTTACGCTTTCGCGCGACGCCTCGGTGGACGGAAAAAAGGAAGCGCGGTGCTTGCCCCACGTCGCGACGTGTTTCACGTACTCCTTGTTCGCCTCTATCAGTGTAGCGACCGCCGACCGAGCTCGCCTCACAATCTCCGAGTGCCGCTCGAAATTCTCGTGCGCCTTTCGAATGCGATCAAACTCCACCGTCGCTACAATGTCGTACGGGGCTTTGATTTTGTCCAACAAATCCTTGTCGAAACCCTCGTACTCGCCAAAGGCGACTGGGTCCTTTTCGTGCGTCTGCGGGTATCTATCGATGGGTCCGCTCATTCCCCACTCGCGGATCTTATCTCTACGTTCGCGCTCCGTAGTCATTAGGGATTTGAGTTCGGAAACATTTTTGCGCAGCGTCTGCAAGTTACACTTCGACTGGCTAATTATCTTTTCGATCCATAGTTCGGGCGCAGCGTTCATGGTGGCCAGGATCGCGTCGTTCCAAGTCTTTAGGTTTGGTACGCTCGAAGGCAGTTTCACGAGCGGAGGGGCACTAAGCAGGCCGCTGTCACCGAGAAACTTTCTCATGTTTTCGTAGTCTCTGTGGCGTTCCTGTACGAGCCGATAGAGTCTATCGAAATCGTCTTTGGGAAACTTTGACTTGAGACGCACTTTCCACTCGTACAAACCTTTGGAGGTGGCGTGAGCAAACAGAGACGCGGCGTCGGCCTCGTCAAACATACATTTGCCGTGCCTCGCGATTAAAGGATAGTAAGGTCCCAATTTTTCCATTTTTTCATCGACGTCGCCGCTATCGCCCACGCCAGCGAGGAGTAGTCGTCGTAACTCGTTCAGGTGCGGTTTCAATCGCTCAAATTTTTCGTAGAGCACTTTCCAGTCGACGTCGATCAAGGCCTTCCTAATGTCCTCCTCGTCGTTCTCCAGCCAGCGCTTTCTCAAGACGGCGTCCTTGCGAACGGCATCGAGGTCCCTAGCAAATTCTCTCAGGAGATCCTCTAGGCTCCGAAACTTGGCGTAATGTGCCAATAGTGACGTTATGAAGGCGCTACCGTCCTGCAAATACTCGTCAGATTTAATCTTGTTAAACAAGTCCCTCGTCTCTTCCTCTTCGCGGACTTTGTGCGCGGCCGGATGGGTCACCGCCCAGACGAGCGTGTCCCTATGTTTGTGCTCCGTGTAGTTCTTCAAAATCTTTTCGAACGCGTCTAGTATGGCCTGCAACTCGGTCGGCGACAGCGTAGGTGCGGAGAGAAAGACGAACCGCTTGACGTTGTCAATCTTTGCGATTTCGCCAACGGCTTTCAAGAGTTCCGGAGAAAACTTTTCGTCGATAAAGGTCTGGGCATATTCAACCTTGGCTTTCAACTCGGCGTAAATGCGAAGAGTCTGACCTTCCTCGGCGGCGACCCAGCGAACGAGCGCCGCGTCCCACTGCGGCGTGCCCGCGGCATCGAAAACGGCCCGGAGCAGTGGATCGAACGCTGGATGCTGGCTAGACCACGAAGAGTGCTGCGTGACTTTCTTGCACCACTCTTCGAAGAGTCGCTTAAACTTTAGAACGGAATCCTGCCAGATCTGGGACTGGTATCGCTCGAGCACAGAGTTGTACTTTTTAAACGTATTGGTTTTAACGTCGTAGTACATTCCGCCGCTAATGCCGTACAAGTACTTGTCCACGGCATCTAGGTCGTACACGTTCAAGTCGTACAAATTACAGATGATATCCAAAATAAACAAGGACAGCTTGTGATGCAGCTGCTACTTACATGCTTCTCATTTCATCGACCTATATTTGCCATGTATAAGGTGCACTATACCTAGTGTGGCATCATTTCTCTTAAAATATATGACTGCATGTTAACCATGTCTCATTTCTAGCATCACATAGACATTTTTTCATGTAATTATAGGCAGCGTAGTAAAGCTATGCTTGAGTTTTAAGTGAGGCTAGGTAAGTTATGTTTCAACCCAATAGTGTTAATGCAGCAAAAGAACCGGCGTCCAGCGTCGGCATGTCGAGAAACCCCTCAATGTTTTGCGCCACGATCCCTTGTGCATGCAAGGGATCATAGGATTCCCCCCCCCCCTCCCCACTGCTGCCCTCCCTGCCCTTGCCCCCACCTCCCTTCTCCTCCTCCACCCCCTGCCCTCCCGCCATCGTGTCATACATTAAGGCCGAGCATAAGTGTCCCCCCCTTTTTTTTTTCACACAAGCAGCTGGGTGCTCGATCATTATCATACTCACCAAATTTAGACCCAAGTGCCATTGCTTATGGCTGCTGAAATCTTCCTGGTGCCAAGACCTTGCGTTGAATGAGCCCGAGCCCCATGTCGCATGCCTCGTTCCCACATAAGATGACCGACCTTCAACAGACATATTCAAACAGAACAGAATGAGTAGAAAACCACAGACTGAAAAAATCAAGGAAAGTAACTCCAAGCTAGTGCTGATGTGATGTAAACGGTCAGAGTAATTTCGGAGCACCTTCTGGGCCAGCCAAAAATATATTTTTAAGCAACAAAAGGAAGTTTTGGATTTTGAAAGCACACTTCCTATTCATTCTGTTATGAATACTACATTAAGATACATCTGTTTGCCTGTCAAAACTAGAAGACAATGCCTGCTTTCCTTTCCCACCCCTGTGTTACCACTAGTGTCGAGTTCAGGGTAAAAAATTCTGTAATATAGTTATTCACAACAATTGCATTTAACAAAGATTTTTATGTTTATTCTAACATGTTAAATTAACTAGTAATATATCCGTTCAAGGAATATTACTACTTGATATGTCCGCACTGTTATCAACAATACTAACATCTCCATCATTTAATCCATGCACTAAATAATATACATGTTCAAATTTGCGGGCCATGTTAGTGCGTGAACTTTTTAGGAGACCCTGTACTAGCAAACGACTTGGTTTTTGAAATCTTACACCAACTTAGAATTTTCAGATTATCATTTCTCAACTTCCCTGTCTATTCAAAGACATGTGGACCATATGTTTAAATGACAACTTTCCTTCCCAAGCATGAGCCTCTGCTACAGCGAGACGAGATATGCAGAATCAGTGTGAAACCTGTGGGTACCACCTCTTTGTGGTGCACAAGTGTATGGTTAAGAGTGCGCCCAATGGTGGTGGCTAACTAGATTGGACAGACCACACATAATGCCGAAAATTCCCAAACTTGAAAGCACAGCATCAATTATACAAAAGTAAAATTGAATAGTATATTGCCCAGAGCAGCAATAAATTTTGACAATTTGCTCAAGCCCACTCTGATGGTCCAGCCATGAAGCAGGGTCTTATTCACTGCTTTCTATAATAATGGGATGAAGTAATGTGTGGCGAAATGTAGGCATGAGCAGTATCACAACAATGTAAGAAAAAATTTAGGCAAGCTTGATTATGCTCACAAAAGCTATGAAAGGTCAGAATGTGTTGGGCTCACTCAGATGTATGGTGTGTGTGGTTATGTGACCATCTGACTATGACCGATTCACTATTTGCAGTATGATCAGGTGACCACACACTGGCGATGGTTATGTGATCCCATTATTCCCAGAATGGTGACAAGCTGGGTGGGACTCTGCGAACAATGATGGCGAACACTCATTCGCCAGAATCAATGAAGAACCATTATTGTGAACTACCTCATCACATCCCCTCCCAGACGGGTAACAGTTGCAAAATTGCCTTTAATATTTCACGAACTAACCTTTCCAGGTACCTGTCTACAGCCGGAAATTTTGCTCTAAAATAAGCTGTGTGATATCATTGTTTTGATATCCAGCAGAGATAATTTGATAAAGGGGCCGACTCACGAGAAGTACTAATCAAGCGCCAAATTCAATATTTTTTTTTTTTTTTGCAAAAATTGAAGTGAGAGCATTTTTTTTTTGTAAATCCATCACTGGCAGAAAAACACACTATACCAGTGAGTAATGCTTGTAGTTTGCTAAGTGGTCTGTTACAAAACCTTCACATACTCTTCGTTAGTGGTAAATGTATCCCTGCATCTATCTATCTCTGAGAATTATTCTTCCTCTCTAGTGACAGTGGACTCTTACGCTCATTGAATTATTTCACCTTCTTCTGCTTCTCTTCAAAATAAGTCTCATGTCCACTTCCCATTTATTAAGTGAACACTGTAGTGAATCATACTTACAGCCTCACACATTCCACTCCAGCTCTGCTATTTTCTTGACCAGGTTAAGTACTTTCTTGTTCACTTCCGACTTGGAGCGCTTGGCTCTGGTGCCACGGTCAGGGTTCATGCTCAGGAAACCTCTGCAATAAGCATCAGTGCCATGAAAGAAACATTTCATCCAAGTTGGTAACCTGAAAAGTTAGTCAATTTAGTCATATGTGTCACATATGTATACATGACCGAAGGGAGAGACTAGAAGAAAGTAAAATATTTAGTAAAGAGAATATCAGGAGGGGACAAACTGCGGCTCGTGAGCCGCATGCATCTCTTCATGCCCCTCTATTGCAGCTCTCCTAACCTGAGGACCCACAAGTTATAATAGGTGGGACCAAACACTGAGAAGCGGGAGCATATCAAAATATGCAATATTGCTGGAGTTGTTTCGTTGTAGATGGGCACGTTAAAATGACATGTAATGGTCAGAAGGGGCAAATCAGTTTGAAAGATAAGCTCTATTTTTTTATTTTCTTGTTTATTTCACCTTTACATGCCAGGTTGAGGTAGTGTTAGCTTTGTGCTTAAATGTTTCCCTAAAATTGATTTCTGAGCTTTGTTATTACAATGCAGTCCAGCTGCCTGATGAAATACCAAGACCACTGGCCTATGCATACATGCAATTGAAGCTGTTTGACTGCTCGATCTGTGGACTCTGCTCGGGTGCAATTTCAATAAAAAGTGCAGCATTGGTGCAGGATGTGGGAGCTATAGTTGTTTGGAGCTGGCGGAAGCAATTGGGACAGCCTTCCAATCAGCGAGATATGTGCTCTTCTATTTCACAAATGAGAAAGAAGGTACCAACTGTGGCTCTATGTCTTTCATGACAGTAAATGTGCAAGGTGTTTGCTTTATTTCGATAGGAACAATAAGCCTGGAAATGATATAGATAAAAAGTATGGAGTCCTACTAGGCATCCACATACATATACCAAAATCACAGAACAGGAAATTACCTCTGAAGGAACTCGAGGGTCGATGACAGGCCTTCAGCGTAGCAGATGTTAAAGCAATAGTGACTCGCGAAGAGTGCAGCCCATGCCGTAGGGACGTCTGGTATCTTCTGAACCATGAGCCTGCCATCAATGCTGAGTGCGTACTCGTGGGCAGTCCACAGATCATCCCCTACAAAAGTTTAAAAAATGAGAAAATAGTAAACATTCAGATAAGTAGAGTTGCTGACAAGGCATTGGAACAATGGGGCTGGGCTGCACCTCCAGATCGTGGACATTTCAAATAATTGTAAAAACAAAATGGGAGAAGGGAAGGGGCGCAGCTTCGTCCCTCCCACCCTCACTGCCGGTCTCCCCCCCACATTCGAAACACTTCCAACATTACTTTTTGCCGACAGGAGATGAGATCCTTGGCTCGATTTGCCTTCCCTCCACTATGAGTGAGCTTGCTTGAGTGTAGGCCAGTCAGAATTCTACTCCAGAAAGGGAGAGGATGGCCTGTGAAGGCACCTAGGCAGATGTTCACTGGTTAGTGGAGGGGAGACATGTGCCACCAAAACTGAACAGGAACCTCGAAGGCCCTCTCCCTCCCCAGTTGCACATGACCACCGCATTCGCATGGATACTCGCTGTATCGTTACATCTAGCACATACTTCTATTGGTTGCAAAGAAATAGAATGATTTGTCACTTCTAGCAACTTCGGAAACGTGTGTTGTCGCTATGGGCTATAGGTAGCCATTGTAGATTTCATGAATTGTCCGACAGACATGTGAAACACTTTAAATGATTTGTATTTGATTTAAACTCTGAGACCTGCTTTATATTTAGTTATCAGTGTTTTTAGGTTTTTATTGTTCTAGGATTTGACATACTTCTTTTGGCTTTTATTTGGAAATTTATCTATTTATTTATTTGAAATACTGTGGACCTGTCGTTCCACACAGGAGGGGAAAAAACAACACACAGAAATAACTCAATCATGCACTCACCGTATGAGGCGAGTGCAGGTAGGTTGCAGCAACCCACGCATGCTCAAAAACATTTCCACATGCAAAATTTAACCAAACAATTGATTCAGCTGTGCTTCAAATAATTGAGGACTACAACAATTGACAACTTGCTCAGGCAGGGTGTTCACTCAATAATAGTCCGACAAAAGAAAGAGTATTTAAATACATCATTTCTGTACTGGTAGGGTTCAATTGCTTTAGTATTGCTTGTTCTTTTGGAGCGTGATGTTGAAGGCAAAAATGTACACTTCAGAATTAATCTTTGTCAAGCCATTATTAGCAACCGCGTATAATTCCTTTAATCTACACACTTTCCTTCTTTTCTCTAAACAATCTAGCCGCACTTCATTTCTCATTGCCGTAACTAACTCTGTGCGCCTATACTCAGAAAAAAAACCGAAGTGCCAGATTCTGTATCCGTTCAATTTGCGCAACCTGCTGCTTCCTGTATGGGTCCCATACGCACCCCGCGTATTCCAAGATCGGACATACATTTTCAATTTTATCGGCAAACATTTTTAGAAATGAAAGCTTACCGGTTTTTTTTTGGTGAATACACATCGACTACTTCCATTTTTGAATGAGGTCGCTCCAAAACGCAGTACATTAGACAGATATCTGAATTATATATCCGCAGCAATAATTCCTGACATGACAAACATAACCTTAGTTAGCACTTTGTAAGGATGACGACAAATTCTAAACTGTGAAATTCACAAGCGTAACTATTGGCACTTTTCTGCTCTTCATATTTATAGGATTATCAAAACTGCTTCCCACTAACCAGAGAGAAGCTTGAGGAGGTGTTAAAACAGCTCCCCTCCCCATAAAAAAGAAACAGTGGAAATCAAAGGGCGTGACAAACAACAAAAAACTCCAAATCTGGCTTTTAGAAGACGACACCAACTTGATGCACAAGGACTGAGCCACAAAATGAATGCAGATTGCATCCACGACAAACCCAAGTACTCCCTAAAGAGTATTGTCCTGCAGACCCTCCACCAACAGAACACTTCACAGTTACGTAGGTGAGATAGTCGACTACTCAGTCAAGTGCGACGACATATCCCGTCTCCTCTTGGCTTGCCATAGTGGCCTGAAGTACTGACCTTTCTCGTTTAAAACTGAATTTACAAAAATTAAGTTGCCACTTTTACTGCTTTAAACCAAAAACGCCAAACACCATTTTTATTTATATTCTACTTCTGCATTAATAACAAGTTGTAACATTAGAACTTGAACTTCTGGAACTTAGTTCAGGGACAGGGCTAATTTGTAGTACATATAATGATACAATCTATTCATAAACATACCCAGTGCTATAATGCAAGGAGAAATTGGCAGGTCCTCCTCGACTTCAGCAGCAGTTAGAAATGGCTGTAAAAATTGAAAGACGCATGGTTATGTTAAAACAAATCCCCGCTTCCACAACCACTAATTCTTACAAGGCCACTGAAAACATTGGGCACTAAAATGACAGAAGAGACCAGAAGGGACGAACAAGAAGGGCCATGCACACAAGTTCCCTCACTGGGATAGCTTCGGAGTCTATGCACACAAGTTTCCTCACTGGGATAGCTTCGGAGTTAATGTCTCTACGTTGCAATGAATATGTTGAACGCATGAGCATAAGGAATTCATCGGTGTTGGCTGGCTTTTCACGAAACATTGCCTGCAATCTCTCTTTGTCTCTGTTCATCTCCAGCTCTTCCTCAGGTGTTTAATCTGGGGAACTGCTCTGACACATTTGTTTTTATACAGTCTGGTTGGGACACGCACGTCAACAATATAAATTCATGCGAAAATATGTTTAGAGCAATATTTATCGCGTGATATTTATTTTAATTTCTGTGCGCAAAGTTCATGACATCGTGAAATGGTCATACATTCTTTCCACCTCAACGAGATGGTCATACACTCTCTCCACCTCATTGTCGAGGCTTAAAAAATAAAATGCAAAGCCGATCCACCTCTCCTTCACGTGCCTGAAATGCCGAGAAAAAGCGAGTGGAAAGGAGGTGACTATCAAATAAATTGCGTCTCACGCCATCAATATTGCTCTAAAGAATATTTTTTTCTTTTTGCGTAAAATTACTTTTTTGACACATGTGCCCTAACCACGCTGTTTAAAAAAATTTGTTTTAGTGGTTTTTTTAAGACATTCTGGACTTAGGAATGATAAATTGTCATGGATGTGGTTAAACAATTTTTAATCAGATATTCCTCCTCGCAAAACCACAAACTCTGACAATGTGCCATTGTGGATAGCATTCAGTGCTTAGCAATTTGCTTTAGGAAAGAAATTAGGTTTAATGCAACATGCATTGGCAGGTAACAACTTTAGGTTATTGTGCAAAGGCAAGAAGAAATGGTCCAAGAAGTCAAGAGTGCTTAAGATTGTAGATACTGTCAAAATGATTAAGCTCTCAAAATAGCTGTATGCAACGAGAAAAGCAACAAATGCTTTACTACATTTTGGGTGCAGTGCTAGCAGGAACTCTGACCTGGAGTAGATCAGGCTTGAAAATAAAATGCTACCACTCACATCTTTCCTCAGAATGAGGCAGTCCCTCTCTTCGCCGAACCATGTCACAAGTAGTATCATCAGTGCCAAGCACCCAGCTTCTGGACTTGCATTGTCTCCAGCTTTTGCAATGTCTTCCATTAGCTTGGTATACTCATTTTCTGTCCTCTTGTCCAGTCTCATTAGTTTGAGAACTACATCCTTCTTCTTTTGCAGCGACTCCCTTAGTCTGTCTTGAATATCAAAACTGCATAGGGCACTAAAGTGACAGAAGAGACCAGAAGGGACGAACAAGAAGGGCCATGCACACAACAGTTCTCTCATTGGCATCACTTCAGAGTTAATGTCCCTACGTTGCAATGGATATGTTGATCGCATGAGCTTAAGGACTTCATCGGTGTTGGCCGACCTTTCACGAAACATTGCCTGCAATCTCTCTTTGTCGCTGTTCATTTCCAGCTCTTCCTCAATTGTGTAACCTGGGGAACTGCTCTGACACCCGTAGCTACGCTCTTTCCTCTGTTTTCGATTTGTGTGCGTCGGCACTGCTATCTTTTCCGTGTCTTCACGTCTCACGTTTTCCACCCTGGCAAGAAGCTGGTTCAGGAGAGAATCATGTCCTGTTCCAACCACTGTTCCATCCAAGACATCTTTGAAAGACAATGGGTACTGGTCCACCACTTTTTTTGCAATGATGTCCAGCTGTTTCCTCAGTGGCCGTGGGCACATTTCCATTGACGTCTTTATGATGAGTCTGACCATTTCCCTGCGATCTTTGGGCAAAGGCCGTTTGTTTTCCTTTAGGGCCTGTTGTAGCCTTGGCGGCATCTCCTTCCACTGTATGTCAAAATTGTTTGCCCAGGTTGAGTCGACATGGTAACTTGTTTTTGATGAGGTGCTGGCTTCAGAAGAGGTAGCCCCAAACTGTTCTGGAGTTTTGCTGTCGGAGACATCTACATAAAGGATTAAGAAAACAGGAAGTTTAGAATATTAGTGCGGTGAGTGCGTGAGGGGTGCGAGGGCGGTGAGTGGCGTGAGGGCTATGAGTGCGTGAAGGCCGTGAGGGCAGTGAGGGGCATGAGGGCGGTGAGTGGCGTGAGGGCCATGAGTGTGTGAGGGGTGTGAGGGCCGTGAGGTTCAGTGAGGGTGAGTGAAGAACTGAAGGTGAGTGTGACTGTGAGGATGAGGGTGAGTGAAGTGCTGAAGGTGAATGTAGCTGTGAGGGTGAGTGAGGGGCTTAGGTGAGTGTGGCTCTGAGGGTGAGTGAGGGTGACCTAAAATGCCGACCTCTGAATTTTGGTGTCCTGGGCTTTTAAAGGAGCTGTGCAACGATTTTAACGTTGGAAGAATTGGGATCTTTTACTTTTGATATTCACCTTGTCACAAATGACAGAAAACACATCTTTCATCGAAATGTTGCGATTCCGCCGCATGATAGCGAGGCAAAACTTAGAATATTCACCGACCTGCAGCCGCGAGCGGCGGCCATGAGAAACACGCGGCATGACGTCAATGGGGAACCTTGTAAAAAGATAGCAAGTTGTGCGAATACCTGCTCGATAAAAGGTAACTTTTTTTATAAATCTTGGCGTTCCAACATATATATAAATGCGTCAAAAACCTGGTATCATCGACAAAACTTTTATTATACGGAGTTTTAGTGGCACAATCTATCCTAGGTCCACAGAACCGTGAGCTCTATCTGCTCCCGCGAACAGCCGCCAGAAGCCGGAGGCGGAGGGGGACAGAGCCGGTCAGGTATGGCGGGACCCGGATGAGACTTTCCTCCTTTCACCATAGTGTTCGCGCTGCGCCCGCCAGCACGTGGTCGCGAGCGGATGAGTTCTCGCTTCTCACTGACAACTGTAAAGAGAGAACTTTTCCGGAACCCCGCACCTACCCCATCAACGTCACTGCGCACGTGACCTGGAAGACGACGTACGAGTTGAGAGGCGGCAGAAACCTGGATCTTTTTCATTTTTTAAAATAAAACTGGGGTATCCAGGCAAAATCTGTTTTCTGTAGTTCACTTCAGAAGTGTCAGGCATCAACTTCCATAATTATTTAAGAAAGACCTGAAATTGTTGCACAGCTCCTTTAAAGGACCCATGAAACGATTTTTGGGTTGGGATAAATCATTTTAGATTGGAATTTTACTAATAGCACATCGTTCAGTGGACCAAAAGAAAAAAAGTAGAAAGTCAAAAGCCTGACTTTCAGTGCGAAAATTTGAAAACAGAGCGGACTATTTCGTACCTCCTCCCCTTCGCAACCTCTGTGCCTTTTCACTGTGATACGTCCGCGGTCCCAAAAGCGTGTCATCGGGTCCAAACTGACGTCACCCGCAACCGGACCTCACTTATTCCCTTCACCTCTAAGCTGACATTGTGGTGGAAGCTACGTGCTTGCCGGACCAATCAGCCGCCTCCCTTTCATCACCTGACTTCATTCTCTGCAGCCACATTTGACACGCTCACGTGGCAAGTGTGGCTGGCCCAAGGAGCACATAGCTTCAACAGCACTGTCAGCTTCGGAATGAACGGGGTGGGGAAAGCAACTTTTGTCTGAATTTTGAGCGACGGGCTAATCTTCTAGCGGAAGAATGGATATGTCCGGGATAACACAAACGAGAGTGCGAGCAAGAGGGGACACCCCCTGTTCGTCTTCTTTAACTGTTTGGTACAATGCGCTATTTATGAGTTGAGGAGGAAAGCTAAACAGGAAAAAGTTGGAAAAGCGTTTCATAACCCCTTCAAGCATAACCAGAATGTTTCGACGAGAAAGCTGCTCTCCCACAAGTTCACCGAACATGATTCGCTGCTGCAGTTAATTGTCGCCAAACTTGTTAATCTGGATTAAACTACCTGCGGAACACAGGCTCTCACTTGTCACAACCACAGTATGTCCGAAAATGCTGTCTGTTTATTTAGGCGTCGATTGTGTTTGGCGTCTGGTGCCATTCGGTGTTGGCACATCTGCAATACTTTTGTTTCCAGATAGTGGAAAAGTTGACCGGCCAGCTAATTGATTTGTTGGGAGATTGGAAAATGAGCAGCAGGAAGTACTAAGATGTGAGTAAAGTAAAATCTGAGAGTTTGTGTCACAAGAATGATAGTATGTCAGCAAATAGGTTGATCCTCACAAGGGAATGCAACCTTGTGTCCAGCAGCTAATGTGCATCCAGCCGTGTGTTGGAGTTGAGTAGGTACTTTTGGCACCTACCAAAGACTTGGGTACATATTAATTGTGGTCCGACTTAACTGCACTTTGAGCAAATAAGCCCTTCAGCCTTGTTCATATATAATTAGGGTTCCATGTTTTCGAATGAATTTAATAAAACCCAAAAAACGCTCGCAGCTAAAACTTTTTATAAAGCTTTTTTGTCAATTCGGATTTTTTCTGAAAAACGCTGATTTTGGAGGTCACGATGGCAAACAAATCTTAGTTATTTTGCCTATGCCTGATCAATGCGAAAGGCCACTAGCCTTGAGGAGATGCGTGACGTTGACGAGGATAATGTATTTTTCGGTGACGACAGGAGGAGCTAAGCATCCGACTCTATTAGCGGTTTTCCTTGTCTTAAGTTTAGACTGTACCATTTCTGATTTCTACAGGAAGTAAGGGCGGCCTTTTTTCTGTCACAGTGGGTGTTATGTTCCCGTCGATTTCATGGGAGGAGTGGCTGCGAGAAGCTGAAGTTTTAACATTCTCCCCTGCACCCGGTTTACAGCACATTCGTGTAGTATCTGTGATAGTGAGGATACGTTTTGGGGACAGAAGCACTTACACTAAAATACAAACACTGTATGCTTGTGTTTATTACATCAGGCTTGTTTGTAATACATCCAAGTTTTGAACTGCAGGGCAGTGCTCTATTTAAATATTTTATACAATAAAAATTTCTGTCAGCGTTCTTTGATGTTTCTTTCACTGACTATTATTTATTCTTGTTGTAATTTTTCTGATTAAATACTGTGAAATTAATATCAAAATATTGTAAAATTGAAGACTGAAAAAAAAACAAAAAAAAACATTGAATTTTTAATAAAAATAAAACTTCGAAAAACATTTTCCAAATTAAAAAAAAAAGATAAACTCCAAAAACACAGAACCCTATATACTATAATGTATTGCAGAGCATAATATGCTCTGCAATACATAATATAATTGCCAGTAATAGTCTGAGTAGAAAAAATATTGTACTTACTCTGTGGCTTGAGGTAGGCGACGAGTTTCCTGGCTTGGATTGGTTTGAGTATGCTTGCGAGGTCTCCCTCAGTCAGAAAGTTGAGGTCACTTGGGCACTCTACGCCAAGGCTCATAAATTTGTTGAGGACGCTCTCAACCTCACCCGAGGTCAGGTTTGGCAAGGCCGCAATTATTTGTTCTTTGACGGCCTGCATCCTACGAAGGAACCCAGTGTTTTGGGATGATCATCATTGCATTCTGTACCTTATACGCAGGTAGTGGGTAATAATCCGTTAGTTGATCAATGTGCATGCATGCAAACTGCTCTGATGCATGCACTGCATATGAATGCAAATGTGGCAAATATGTTGTGCTATAAACTTTCACAGTAGTGAAGAGATTATTTCTGTTATGAATTAACAGCAACATTATTTCACCAAAGCACAACTCATTGTCCATGCAGGTAGGTACAAAGGCACCAAATGAGTAGGATGTCCCTTTGTATGAAACCTCATTTGTAACCATGGTGTCTTCTGACGTGAAGTTAAAACTGCCTAAGCATTTCTGGAGAGCTTCCGAGTAAGTTGAAATTAGAAAAGGCATTCCTGCCTTCATTACAATGTCAGGATCGAAAAATGCCTGAGTGCAGGTATGCCTGCAACAGCTGGTGTCGTTCAGAAAGGGTTTTGTTCAGTGCCTTGAAATTTTGCAGGCGTCTCACACAATTTTTGAAAAATGAGTGTTTGCTTTCAAACCTCAACGTCCACAGGTTTATTAGTGGACCAAGCTGTGTGATGAGCGTGGAGTAGTGAAGCAGGTAGTGGTGCTTTGGTTTCAGAGGTGCCATAGGAAATAACTCTTTGCGGTCTGCAAGGTACTCTTCAACTAGCACATGCAAGTAGGCAACCATTTCTTCATTTACTTTGGGAGCGCAGATAATGTCAACCACCTTCCTTAAGGTAAGGTAGAGGCACCAGATGGGATCTTTAGTGTCAACTTTATGGCTAACAAACAGGAAGCAGGCGCAGCAAATTCCATGTTTTAACAGCTTCACCAACTAACTTATTTCCTTTTATGTTTACTTCACAGGGTTTGCTAGTTGTGTCAGAGCCCAAGAACTTGAAAGATGCTATCCTGAAGTTCAGGTATTTCAATGAGAACCACTCGCATGTCTCTGTAAAGTGCTTTATGAAAAGGAGAAGGTCGTATGAAACAACACCTTCAAAAAGGTCATGTGCTATGCAAGGAGGAAGTCCCGCATCACATACATGAAAGAATGTCAGACTGTTAAATGGGCTGTTTGATTTCACCCCTTCAACAGACGACCCAGTCTCTTCAACCTCCTGAACTGCCAAATCATACTTTTCTGCAGTCCTTTTTTCACCAAGCCGACACGGATCCTCTCTGAACTCTTTTCGTGTGAGTAGGCAATAGCGGCAAATGAAAGTGGAGGAACTGAAGTTTTCGGTGAAGCCCCCGATAAAGTGAGATCCCAAGTTATCTCCGAGGATACATACGACTGTCCCCTTGACGTGCACACCATCGAAAAGAATTCCGTTCAATTCGAGATCGAGCAGGTCACGTAAAAGAAGAGAAAAAATTTTTTCGATTCCAAAAGTTTTGATGTCTTTCTCAGCAAAAAGAAGAGCCAGCTGAATGTGATCTCTGGTAGATCTCCTGTGTTTTTTGAAATTTGCAAGAGTGAAGTAGACACCAACAAGTTTGTGCTTCTTCCTTGCGGATCCCAAAGGATTCACAACCTCAAAAGCGTCCTGATACAGCAGTAGCTTAAATGTTGGCAGCCCAGTACTAAAGAGAGGATTTGATTTGTAGGCTGAACCGTCTGATATGTCTTGCATGTAGCTCGCGTCCCTGTCATCTAAAGACGTGTTAAGAATGCAGTCAGCAAGCGAACCATCCTGCAGTAGGCTTTTTAAGCTTTCCAGTACTGGCACATATTGAAATGAGCGATCTCTCTTGTTTCCGTCACGCCCAAGATAAATCTGCACTGGCTGGACGTATGAAAACTTTTGTTTAAAGTAGGCTCTTCTTTTGTGTTCACTATTGAACACGGTAGCATTCAGACTGCTGAATACATCGTGGCTGTTTGCATCCGCAACAATTTCTTTAGCATCAGCCGTCCCCAGGCGTTCCTCCAACTTGTCATGCAAGGCTTTAAACATGCACTGCTTACTCGAGCCATGCAGGTTTTCGATTTCTTGCCACAAATGCTGAACTGTGGAAGCAGGTAAGCAGTACTTAGATTCTAGCTTTAGGTAAAAGAGAGCCAGATCGTACTCGACACACTCTTTTAACTCACTTGGAGACGGTGAAAACTGAGGGGTGCCACCTACAGAGTTAGCACCCTCCATGCTTGCATCTTTTGGAGAAGCACTGCTCTGACAACCGGTTGCAACTAACACGTTTGCCTGTTGCCCTGAAGAACTGGTTGCGCCTAAGGCGCTTGCCTGTTGCTCAGAAGAACCGCTCGCTTGTTGGGCTGATTTTACATGTTTTCTTGATAGGTGAGACGCAAACGTAGGTTTCGCAGTGAACGACTTGTCACAGCTAAAATACGGGCAACTGACTGACTGCCCGTTGTCGATGTGCTCTCTAAGATGAGTTACTATCTGAGCCCTACTCGAGCACTCGCGAACGCATCCGTGCACGCCGCACTTTAAGTTTACGTCACCCGTTAAATCGAGCCGAGGTCCACTCGCGCGCAGTTGACCTTTATGAAACCGTAAGATGTGACATCTGAGCCCTACATAAGTAGTGAACTGCAAACAACAAGTTGCGTGTATACATGGAATCTGCCGCGCTCCGAACTCGTGGCTGTCATAATGACGCACATATTCGACCAACGTGGTTGACCCCTTTGAACAGACACGGCAAACAAACATGGTTGTTCAAGCCGACGCCTCACTAAAGCGAGAGAGAAGAGCTAAGACCGACAAATCGCGAGAATGTGCAGTATTAATCTGAAGCTATCTTTGGCTGGTTCTCAATCGCTTGTGCTCCCTTCCCGAAAAGGAGCGCGAACGACGATCGCCAGCCGGCCAGCGATGCACTCCGTCAACGCACGTGCTGCCGGTTTGTCGGTGCCGGCTCTTTCTCGATCTTGCCGGCCACGGTCATTAATTTTCTCAGAATCGGATCGTGCTTGCCACATTCATATTCAAAATGATACTCACGTTATGTTCGTTTACTATCGGGCCCGCCAAACGCCTCGGGTACTGCGCCGTCAGCCGTCTTGGTAGCCACGGTCGTGCTCCCTACCGCAAACTTTCCTCGCTTTGTTTTCTTCCTTCGGGAAACAAAAGATGGCGACCCGACGTTGGGAACGGCGCGAAAGCGCGATGGGGAGGGCTGTGGGCGAGGGTCAAGGCGCGAGCCGCGAACTGGAGAGCAGCCCGACGACGCAGGCGCAGAAGGCCTCCAACACATCACGTGCGTCCCGTGCGTGTGTCTGGAGCGTGGTGCGGAGTGTGTAGCGCGCCTCGCTTGGGGCGTTCCGCTTCTTTCCTTCCGTCGCCGTACCTTCTCTCGCTCCTCTTCTTTCCTCCGTCGCCGTACTCTTTTCACTCGAAAAACATTGTCAACATACCGTATTTTTTTTTACGGTGGGCGCCCCGTGACGTTCACGGTCAGGTGACTGTTTATTTCACGGTCATTTTTTACAGTGTGTGTAGCTGGTTCCGCCTGTCGGGCAGAGCGTCGAGAGACGAATTGTATTCCATGACTCGAAGATTGGAGCCGCAAAAGATGTGGCCGTTCAAGAGTTCGGCGGTGAGTTTCACCACGGCAGCCAGTTCGCGGTTGGTGAGCGTGCTGATAGCTTCGTCGTTCTTGATCACGTAGGTGTATATCAACTGCGGGCTCCCGTAGTATGGGTCGTTTACGGAATTGCGTATGTCGGCGCTCAAGTCGTAGCGCGCCAACACTATGGAACTACATAAAGTTACGAGGACGAGAATACGCATCGTTATTATTTTATTTAACAATTACCCCTTGTACTGTTTATAGCATAGAGCACCTCCGCCGCCGAGGCCGAGGAGTCCTACGATTCCGATGAGAGCAGGTAGCCACTCGGCGTATTCGTTGCTCACCGAGAGGCACTGGCGCTTCTCGCCCGATGCGTCATCCACCATCTTTCTTTGGCTTTTGACAGTATACACTAGGGGCGGTCCGCCGTACAGAGTGTCGTTCTTGTCGCACGTGTACAGTACGGCGTAACTCGTCTTGTTCACTTTGAGTATCTTTGAACGAACGTTAGCGACCTTGAGCAGACTCTGGCAGTAGGGCAATTTTTTATTGGCGTTTGATTTGGAGGCCACCAACGACGGCGCCACGAGTAGCGCAATCATTAAACCGATACGTACGGTCGTCATTTTTGTATTCAATAACAAAATAATCATGAGCACAGTCCCCGTGGCGCTTCTTTCGACGGTAGCCAGCTTCTTGTTGGGATGTTACCTATTTAGGTCGTGCGTTTCGCGAGATGTCTTGCAAAGGAGGAGCGCCTTGCTGGCGGACAAAACCAAACCGTACAGTAAATTGCCGTCGGGCTACGACGCCGTCGCTGGCGAGGAGCGCTACCCTTACCACGAACAGGTGGCCATCAAGCACATGGCCGATACGTACGGTCGGCGAGCGAGCGTAGCGCCCGAGAGACACGATCTTTGGTTCCATTGGTAAATAAAAATGTCCGCTTCGACGAACGATCGGTACGACCGCCGTCAAGACCCGAGCAGGAGCGTTCCGAGGTCTAGCAAGAGCGACGAAAAGCAAAACTCGCTCATGAGAGCCTTCGAGGCCGCAAAGAACAAGAAATCCAAGAAGGGAAGAGACGAAGTGTCTGCGAGCAAGATGGAAAAGGAACGCTACTACGCCCGCATGAAGTTGCTCTTTTGGATCTTTTGCATCCTGGGTTATACCGGTTGGGTCGCCGGAGTAATGCACGGCCTCACCGACGGCAACTACATGTTTCGAGGCGTACTCGGTACCATACTTTGCATCGGAGGTCTTTTCTTTATGTTGATTGCACCGATATCCTCGGCGGTCATGAAACCAGAGTGTTCAATCCGTCAGTCGGGCCTATTGCAAGCCTCGTCGTGCCTGATAGTCATCATGCTCAGCGTTTTTGGGGTTGCCGTTTATCACATGTACATGCAATCTCTCGTGGCTAAATAAATTTACACTCTTTGAAACTTCTCGTCTTTGTCTTTATTATCGATCAACGTTTGCGGTATCCGTAAATTACCATCGCTCCGAGTGCGCTGCCGGACAGCATGCTACCAATGAGCCAGGACACGCCGTCGCGGCCATTGTCGTCGGGTTCCGCCGGGGGAGGACTGGATTTGTCGTCGACGGGATTCCCGTTGTCGTCGACCTCCACGGATTTGGCAGGCGTCGACTCGGCGCTGTTGGGATCGATGAGCATCTCGTATGGGATCGAACCGAAGGTGTTTTCAAATACGTGGGGCATGGCGTATTCGGCGTCCATCGGAGACACGAGCCACGTCTTGTCTCTAACGCGTTGCATCTTGCGACCGTACGTATCGTACCAGGTAACGAGACGAGTCTTCTGATCGATGAACGGAGCTCTGGTCTTGTGGTTCCATTCGGTGGCAGTGACCTCCCCTTCAATTTTTGGAGGCACGGCCTTGATGTTGGTCTTTGTCTGAAGGATCCGGTACGTCTTTAGCATAAACACCTCCCAGTTGTCCACAAAGTCTCCGACGACAAAGTCCGGGTCCGTCATCTCGCCGACACTGGTAATGTATCTGCTGTCCACGCAGTACACGCCGTACAGCTTGCAGAAAAATTCCACCAGATTCATTTTGTCGGTCGTGTTGAGGTGCTGAAAGTCGTAGGGGACGTGGCATGAGAAGCCGTCGATGTTGATGTCGGTTCCGCTCGAATTGTTGCATATGGCCAGAATAAAGGACATGATGGTGTTTGTGGCGCCTCGTTTGGTCACCGTATCGGTGCACTCTTTCAGATACGCCATGCGGAGTTTGGTGCAGATGTGTTGCAGCCTGGGCGTGTCCGCTACGGCCTCTACGTTCACGTTGGGGTTCCAGAGCAGCGCTCGGAACGTCTCGTTCTTGAAGAGCACAATGTGCCCGTTTTCGTTAAACTCCAAGTCTCTCTCTCTCGCCACACGTCGTTGACGTGAATCTGCGGGTACATGCTGCTGTTTATGTCCTCCTCATATTCACTCACTATCGTATTTGCGATCGAAACGGACGAATAACGGTTCGAATGCGGCATTTTTTATTATACTAGTTTCGATAAATTTGCAGCCCCTTAATGGCAAACACCTCCCACTCGGTGACGTATCGCACCGTCACCACCGACGTCGACGATGTCTCGACGGACATGACCTCGTTGTCCTTTGCGTGAGTGAGGTACATGTCCAGTTCGCACTTTACGATTCGGCGCCGATCGAATGCAGACAACTCGTGATAGGCGTCGGGCACGACGAACGTGAAATTTATAAACACCTCCTCGTCCCTGGTCTTCCCATTTGCGAGCAAGTCGTCCAGATAGGCGAGACAGAGCTCGTAGAGCGATTGCAGTGACCGGAACGTGCCGTATTTGTCTCTAAAGGCCTCGACCAGCTGCGTCGACACACCGCCCGCCCTGGCCGCCGATTCCACCGACGTGCCGGCGTCCCAAAGGGCGTAGCGAAACAACTTGTTTGTCGGAAGATTCATTCTCAGTCGGGATGAGTGCCACGAACGAGAACGACGATCTGGATCACATTATAGCTCCATTCCTGAGCGACAACTATATCCGGGAATTGTTTTTGCTCTATCCGACGGGTTCCGGCAAGACGAGGAAAGGTGCCCTCGTGATGAGATATCTTCTCGATAGCGGTTTTATAACAAAGGTCGTCGTCGTGGTGCCCCGGTCCGCGCTCCTGGCCGACACCGAGCGCGAATACCAACGAGTTTTTGGGACCGACATCTACAAGGCTCCTTCGCGAAAGACAGTTTACAGGCGGCTGGCACATCCACACTACGGTCTAAGCAAGAAACCACCGTCTTTATCGACGACGGCGGAAGATCGTTACGCGGTGGACGTTTGCGGATGCCGTTCCGGTAGCGGCGTGGTGCAGATTTTCACCCGGAAAGACTTTGTTCGCTGGGTTCGCAAGTCGCAACACGATAAGTCGGACGAGGTGGTGGGCTACTTTATAGACGAGTTTCACACTTTCATTTCGAGATCGAATCTCAAGAGCGACGCATGTTTGGGCGGCAGCGACGCGACCACCGGACCTCTCGTAGCGGTGGACGAGCGCAAGAAGAGCTACAAGGTGCACGCTCGCAACACCGTCCATAAGCTGGCGCACGAGACTCGCGACCGGATATTTGTGTGCAGCACGGCCACCCCGGTTTTTACAAAATTCGAAGGCGAGCTGCTCCAGTGGGTCACCACCTTCGACCAGGGGGGCATAAAGACGGTCGAGGACGCCGAGAGATACTTTAGCATTCGGATGGTCGTTCCGAAGCAAGAGTTTCTCAAAAAGATTTACAAGACGTCTCTGCACGTGGTCAGGGACGACGGGAGTTACACCGTGCCCAACGTGGTGGACGTGCGCTACCCTCTGAGCGAAGACGACTTCCCCGCAATCGGCTGCGACTGCAAACGGGAGACCTGCGACGACATTCACTGCGTCGTCAAGCGAGTCTTTGACGAGATTGTGAAGCGTCCCAAGGACAAGCACTTTGTCGTTTCGTACCGCTACGACATTAGAGAAAACATTTTGACCATCATGAACAACGGCAAGCACGAGAGCAAAACGACGGCCCGAAAGTTTGTCTGGAAAAACATGACCATCATATTCGTCGTGCCAGGGGACCCCGCCTGGTACCTGACGAAGCTACGCGACATGTACAACAACTTTACCTCCTCGGTGATCATGGTGACCAATTTCTTTTTCTGCGAAGGCCACACGCTCAAGAACGTCAAGCACATGCACATCATCGGTGGATTCCCCACCTACGAGTGTGCGACCATGTTTCAGGCGCTGGGCCGCGTCTCGAGACTCGGCTCGCACAGCAACGTGGACTCGGCCGTGGTCAAGGTGTACATGTACAACGGCCAGCACTATGCCACGAGACGCGGCAAGGCCGTCGACAGGGAGAACGTGGTTCGGAGAGCCATGGTCAGAATAATTCGAGACACCCCCCTTTCTCCGGCCACCGCAGACGGTAGACTCTCGAACCTGCTGGCGCTGTACGAGACCAACAACGACGACATCCGCAAGAGCGAGCCTTCCGCAGACGAGAGCGAGATCGACAAACTCTTGGCCGCCACATCGCGCT